TGAGCAAGTCCCAGCCTTCTTAGGAGATCGTAGGTTGTTCACAAGGAACTTTATGGACAGCAAGACCCTTAATGCTCACTGTTGGGCAGAGTGAGCATTAAGAATTATTTCTCGGAAATAACAAAAATAATGAACAACCATATACCAGAGACATTCTGTGGGGGTGGAGTGGGGAATGGGATCAAAAACGGGGGCGGGGGGGAAGGAGGGAAATGCACGGGACTATGGTGGTGGCACAGGGGTGATTTGGTGATGGGAAACCCGCGGGGATTACAATCGAGATGGAAAAAAAATGTGCAAAATGATGTAAAAATAAACTTTGAAAAAAAAGAACAAATAAAAAAAATTTCCTTTATGAAAAAAAAAAAAGAATTATTTCTCGGTCAATATTGAAAAAAACATTTACCAAAATAGAAATGAATAATTATCATGATCAGAAATAATTTCCTTGTCAACAGGAATTTTTTTTTGCTTGTCATCCTTTCCTTTAAAGAAATATGGGTGCGGTAAAAGCAAGGACTCTAGGATTCTTAGCAGTCTCTATGCTTGTTACTGATAGTTCTTCATGACCGTTAAAAATTTGGATCTAGGGGTCCTCCCTGGTGGTGCAGTAGGTTAAAGCACAACACTATGAAGCTGGCCACAGCCACTGCAAATCAAGTTCGATTCCTAGCCCAGGAGCTGACCCACATGACGCGGCAGATGGCTCCTGACCCGCCCACTGCTCCCCTCAGCAATACTCCCTCAATCTGCCTGTTCTGCTTCCCACTCTGTCTCTGGTGAATTCTCTCACCCCATGTACCTCTGGCCTTTACCCCAGTTCTTATAAATAAATAAATCTTTAAAAAAAATTGGATTTAGATGTTAAATTAAACTTACACAGCCTAGATGGCCGTGGAGACAGCAGATTGTTACAGATTGTTACCAGATTGTTACATATCTGTATGATAGCCTTTAGAATACCAGGCAAATTCTAGCTCCAATTGCTTGAATTTGTGCTTCCAAGCTGTACACACTCATAAGTGAGGTTATCAATATTGCATGTGATAGGCCCCTCTTTATCCAAAGTTTTGCTTTCTGTGGTTCAGTTTCCTGTTGCCAACCACAGTCTGAAAATATTGCATGTAAGAAGATATTTTGAAAGCTAGGGAAAGACCAAATTCATCTGAGTCTTATGATAGCATATTGTTGCAATTGCTTTATTTTTTTATTGTTATTAACCTCTAACTATGCCTGATTTATGAATTAGCATAGTATGTACATATAGGAGAAAACACAGTATATAGAGAGTTCTGTAATGTCTGCAGTTTCAGCCATCCACCAGGAGTCTTGGAATATGTAAGGATAAGAGGAAGACTGTGTGTGTTTTTATTTACTCATACAAGATTTGCACTTATGGTAAACCATAAGTGCAGGGGTTAAGAGGATTCACCAGTGACACAGTGGAGAACCGAGCAGGAGGATCCACTGAAATACACTGCTGAAGGGAGCAGCGGACGAGACAGGAGAGGTCTGCTGCACCATGTGGGTCATCTCCCTGGCCAGGGATCGAACTTGTGCTGCAGTGGCTGGTGATAGCTTGATAGTGCTGTGCTCTAACCCCTTGCACCACCAGGGAGGGCCCTATTGTGTTGTATGTTTTGAAAGGTGTATTACCCACTAGCAAACATCGAAACCCCAGCGACGGGAGCAGCGCTGGCAGCTGGAGGGTGTCTCCCCTGCAGCCTAGTGTTCGGGCACCTGAGGTGGACAGCCGGGGTGTGAATCATGTCTCTGCTGCTTCCTAGATAACTCTTGCAGGTTATGCAGCCTCTCTAGGTCTCTTCTGTCAAAGGGGGCTAAGGATAGTAGTTATTCCATAGAGTTGTTATGGGAACCAGAGAAATTCATGTTTGCTGAACCCAGTGTGTAGCGGATAGTAACTGAATCAGTATTGACCGTTATTGCTAAGCCAAAAGTATGACAAAATTGATTGGTTCAGTGGAATGCCTTTCACTCAAATGGGGAGCTGACAGAATTGAACTTTTTTCTCTTACTTCCTGTACACTAATTAATAGTGAGGTGGTCCAAAAGCAAGCACAGCAGAAGAGGGGGAGAGGCAGGTGTTGGGGGGCAGTCTACTGAGACAGGAGTAACTCCACTTGAGTAAATGAACTACTGTGCTTTAAAGTGAAAATCAGGATAATATAGGTAACTAGATGCATTCATGTAGAGCTGTAGAGTTTGCTGGCCATGGCCATATTTTTTGCTTTCATTTAATCTCCAGTTATTCTTTGAGGTAGAATAGGCGTCATGGTTCTCTCTGTACAGAGACTCTGCAGAGGCACTTACTTGGCAGAAATCCAATGAGAGCCTTGGCTTCTAGAGGCCCTTCGCCTTGCCTTTTCCATATAGCTTCTCATTGATGCTGAGCTTAAGTGCCTTAGAAGTTCAGAAGCCTTCTCCTCTGTCCATTCTGTAAGGGCAGAGGATGAGAGACTCTTGAAAGAGCATCCAACCACTTCCCATAAGGAGAAGGGCCTCCTGTGTGGCCAGACCACATATGTGGCTGATGCTCTAGATCTAGAACTTTGTGCTTTGATGTCTCAGGTAAGGCCAGCACTTTTCAGGGTAGGAAGCTAGGAAGAGGAGAGAGAGGACGTAAAGGATGCTGCTAATAGCCTCTTGCTTAACTTGCTGAATCTTTTCCACAAGTAATACTGAGCTGAGGAGAGCAAAAGTATACTACGAAGAATTATAATTGATGGCATGTCACTTTAGGACAAAATGGCAAATATGTAGTTGCATGATGTGGCCATGACCTTTATCCCTGTCAGCCATTGGCTGCATGGCCATTGACCAGGCTCTTTCCCACTGAGCCTCATAGTCTTCCTGAACCCAGGACTCCAGGCAACCCCTACCTGACAGATTTGTTAGGTGAGAGGGAACTTATTGGTTGTTCTTTTTGGAAGATTGATTGATTGATTGATTGATTGATGCTTGCATGCATACAAGAACTGAGGTGTAGGCTAGAAGTACAGGGAGTCAGAGGATTCACCAGAGACAAGAGTGGAGAGCAGAACAGGTAGATTGATGAAATACACTGCTGATGGGGCAGCCAGTAAGCCAGGAGAGGTCTGCTGTGCCATGTGTGTCAGCTCCCTGGCTGGGGATTGAACTCAGTGCTGCAGTGACTGCGGCTAGCTTGATAATACTGAGACTTACCCCCTTGTGCTACCAGGGAGGCCCCTGGTTGTTCATTTTTTAAGGGCACCCCTTCAGTGTAACAAGGAGTTAAATTTATTGTTGAATTAATACATTTCCTTTTGGCATTTAGGTGATTCTGGAGTTCCTGGTAGCAACATTACTTACATTTTACTAGCTATTAAATATTACCACTCATTTGACACTTTCATCTGGCTGTGTTATCAAGCAGCTCTTCAGATAAAAATTGAACACCGAAGTTAGTCATCTGTGTTTGTTGTAACCATCTTTCTCTCTCTTTAGAGACAAATATTATCATTTATTACAGTCACTAAACCTGGAAGAAAGGCAGGATCGGGGAGTGGGGTTTCACCCTTCTCCCAAGCGTGCACTGGTTGTTCCAGCCAATCCGGACAAGCTGAGATAAGCTGTCCGGGCCCCTCCCCACGACGCCAGCAATGCCTTTTTGAGACCACTGCTGCTCTCTGAGCTCTGGGGGACTCAAGGGGCTGCCTACGGTTGCCTGCACATTCCCCTTGGCAGCCACATACATAAAATGACCCCAGGTGTGCAGCAGGTGATTTTGTCTTGCGTGTGTTCACAGGGTTCAGCAAGACCTGCAAGAGTTGCAGTTGGAGATCTTTAGAGGAAAGTCTCTGTTTGGTCAGGACTCTTCTTTCCCAGTGAAGCATTTTGGACGGGAGTGCAAGAAGGGGGAATGGTCAGAGCCAGCCACTAGGGAGCGCATGCAAAAGCAACAGAATGGTGCATATTATTTTAGGATCGCAACTCAGTTTTGGGGTGTAGCGTTTTGGGTCACAGAAAAGTATAGTGAAGGTCCCTGATGGTGATCAAGCACCGGCGGCCACCCTGTGAGAAAGGCTGCTGGCCACCGGCAGAGTATCCATCTCGGGGAGGCACTGTGGGGAAGCAGGGCGTTGGCAGACAAGGCTCAGGAGCACCCAAGGCAAAGGCTGCCTGCCAGCATGAGCGCTTTTTGTTCATTTTGATCAGGCCTTGTGAGTGGCACTCCAAGAGTTTCTAACCAAAGACCAGTCGGTGCTTTGAGGAAATGTTTACTGTGAATTTCCTTGGTGATAATTACACAGCATTCAGAAAGCACAAAAAGATTAAAAAGGGAGAAGTTTACCCATAATTCCACTGTACAAAAAAATACTCTCAGCATTTGGATGTATTTCATAGAAGTCTTCTTTTATGCATATGTGTATAAATTTTAAGGGACTCTGAATCCTAATGAAAATGCAATCTTCATCATGCTTTTTTTACTCTTTGGAGCACATTTTTATAACATTATATTGTTCAAAACTACTATTGTTAGTGGTTACATAGAATTCACCTTACACGTGTGCCCCAATTTAACTATTTATTATTATTATATTATTATTATTATTATTTATTAACTCTTTGTGTGTGTTTTTATAGCTTGATCTGCTATAAATAATAGCAAGGGGGGAATGTGAAAAGGAATAATTCCAGAACTATCCCAGTGGTTCTGCTAGCACCCTGCATGCACGTGTACATGGAGATTGTACCTTTGTGCCGGTGTTGGACTTTAAAGCAGGTAATCATCTGTCTCCCCAATAAAACTCAGGCTTCTGGCCACCGGGCCACCAGGCCGTTGGAGGATTCTTCTTTCCACCTGATAACTTTATAATCGTTGGGGGTAGTTAAACCCCATAGGAAATCTATAGCTGCCACACCAAGTCCTGTTAGGTCTTTAGCATCAGACAGATGCTGCACCGTCTCCCTGCCAGCGGCCTTGGCACTCACAGATGTTTCTTTTCTCTCCACTATAGCTACTGGGACTTCCTGATGCAGATGATGACGCCTTTGAAGAATACAGTGCAGATGTGGAGGAAGAGGAGCCAGAGGCAGACCACCCCCAAATGGGTGTCAGTCAGCAGTAAACGTCTCAAGGCTCCCACCTACGCAGCAAGGGGAGCCCCTGGGTTAGCAAGGTGGGGTCGGTGCTCCTGGGTTAGCATTTTGCATTAGCACTTCAGAGAAACAGGACGCCTAACTCCCAGCATCCAAATTAAAATGACATACCTTTTAACAGCTGCAAAATATCTGGGATGAGCTTTGCTCAGAAATAACTGAATTTTACTCCCGTTTCAGTGGATTTCTATGGAGTTGTGTTGGTAGCCTGTACCATTTTGAATTTAGAGTCCATTTTGTGGCTGACTGTTCTCTCGAGTTTATGTTGGGGAATGAGCATTCGCTTATGTGAATGTAGAGAACTCTGAATGTATTAAGGGTATGTTTTGAGGGAAAGCATGGCAGAGAAGAAATGCAGTCTGCACTTTTTATGTACCTTTAAGTGTCCGTAAGTGGAAGGTTTTGCTTATAAAGCATGAGTTTTAATATCTCGTCATTAAACTGCACAAGTGCAAATCCAAGGGCCGGAGAGGATACTAAATCACTTTAGTTTTAGATGGGGAGAGCAAGAGGCCTTTAAGTGTTCTGCTATTTACCAGGTTACCTGGACGTGTAGCAACTGGTTCATCTTTAGGTATAAATATTTGCATGTTCAATTGTTTGAAAACATGCTAATTCCAAAGCCACTTTTAAAGTCTAGAAAATATAAATGGGGTGAAAGACATAAATTATTGATTTCTTTAAAGTATTTATGAACGGTCCCACATGAAATGAGAAGCATTTACCTTCTCTCTTTGTAATCATATGGCAACTTGTTAAATCATGAAAACATCCAAAATCCAAGTGCCACTTAAACTTTGAAGCCATAGATAAATTTAATAGAAAAATAAACCAGTATGAAATTTTTTAATGTTAAATACTTCTTTCTTAATCTTTTTATTAAAAAAAAGGATCCCACTGTATAATTTACTTAAAAATTTTAATCAAACACTTTGAGGAACCTAATGGCAGTGAATTTTTGAAGTGATATAAAAGTGGGAATCTTTTATGGGTTAGTTTGTTTCAACGAGGAAGTTTTAGTGATTGTAATACTCAAGACAGCTCACAGAAACAACGGCTATAATAACTGGAAATCTTGCTGTCACGATTTAGCCAACAAACACTAATGGAGGAAATCCTTTGCGATGCTAACATGGAATTATTTGAAACATTCATTTTCTTGGACCTGTCCGCCTCTGGTTCTAATTGTTTAGGGTGCGGAATACCTCTTTTACAACACTTGACTAAACATAGCATCTGGAGGAGGCTGTTTGTAACATGCACACACATGCCTGATTAAAAGTCATCCCAGTTTTGAGTTTAAAAAACAAGAGCAGAAGCAGAGGCCATAGAGTTTGTGGGAGTCTTGTATATCTTCCAGGCATGTCGGTGTAAAACTGATTCTCTTAACCTTTTCTGTTTAATCGATTGGTGCTGTGACAGTGGCAGCTGCTCATGGTAAAACAGCGTACTATAGTCTGAAGTCTTGGGGTAAAATAGTATAGTGGTTTCCATCTGTGTTTAAGTACCCACACTTTTTCTTTTTTGAAAAAGACATTAAAGGTTACTTTCAAGTAAAATGAATTTCCTTCTACGTAGCTTGTTAACAAAGCAAAACCTTGGTGTTTCATCCAAGTGGGGTGAGTGAGTTCAGCGCTTTGCTGCCTCGCCTGTGTTGTGATTGGCTGCATACCTGAGTGCAGGTGACCGAGCTGTACTTTCTGTAGAAGTCACCCAGGCTGGGTCACATCTGTTTTCACTCAATAGACAAGAATGACTCCTGCAACTGAAATAAAGAAGCTTGACTAGCTTGTTCCATTCAAAGGTAAACTGGAGCTTTATATGTGGAGGCTTAAAACTGAAATTTACATACATTTGAAAAATAGAATGAACATTAATATATAATACATCTTATCAAAAAAGAGTTCAGATTTTGACCAAATGCATATTGGTGTTACGATGTTAATGTTCTCTCTTTTGAAAATTGAGCTGAGAGAGCCCTTCAGAGGGCTGAAGAGCAACTGGTCTTTGTTCTGCTCAAATAAGTAGGGTGTCACCTAGCTGTGTGTTACTGATTTTCATAGCAGCACCCCAGAAACTTTAGCAAATTGGGTTGTTTTCTCTAAAACTCCCTTTTGTCTCACATCCCCCCAATGCTCATTTACATAGTGCACATGTGTGAACACTCACCCAACCCGCTCTGGGGATTGTTAGAGTCGTGTGTGTGCAGAGCATCTCCTGGTCGGCCAGTGAGACCGCAGCTGTGGTCTTTGTTATGGAAATGGATCCATGACTAGACAATTCCTGACTTTCATAAGCGGAGAGACACACTAACCAGGAGGCAGTGTGGCCCAATGGGAGAAGCACTGAGCCAAGACTTAAGAGAGGGACCTGGCTTCCAGTCTGATTCAGCCAGTGACCGCATGACCATGGACAAACCACTTCACTCGCCACAAACAGGGCGCCTGGTCTTCCAGCTTTAACCACTATCCTTCCATAACTGCCTTATGATATATTGTGTATGAAGAGCAACAATCGAGGAAACTTGCAGGAAAATGGCAAGGAGGTATGTTTGGAATTTTGCCAAGGTGCTATCCTGAAGCTCTTGGCCACAGCAGCACACAAACATGTTTCTGGTGGCCCACGTGTCAGGTCCGCTGGGCCAACACCCAGGGGGCGGCTGACATGCAGGCCTTTAGGAAAAAGGGTAAAATGAAGCCCTAGAAGAGGAGAACATTCTTGTCCCAGGCCCATGCTGTACCTGGGCATAGCTTTTTTGTGTGTGATAGTGAACTGGGGCTTTAGAAACAGATGTTTAATTTAACTGAAAGGGAGTACATTTTGAAGAATAATTGGAAGAGAGTGAAAGACGAGCAAGAGAGTGAAAGACAAGCACTTTTACTCTTTGACCATGTCATCCAGTAGAGAATAAGAGTGAGTGAGAGTGTATGAGTGTGAGTGTGTGTGAACACATGCACGTGCTTAATGACTGCTTAATGTTGGTCACCGTGGGCCAGCTGTGACTTCCCACCTCAACAAGGCAAAACCTTGATCCTGGGTTGAGTGAACTGCAGAGATTTTCTTTTTTATGGCCACCTGGTTACTTTTCTCTGCCTGATCACACGCAGCAGGCTTCAGCACCTTGAAAGTGAATCACAGAGTTAGAGAGGGCAGGAGACCCACACAGTGCCTGCCACCAGCTGATTCAGCTACATTGAGGTGTCCACTCCTGTCCCCAAGCTCATAGTAGCACATAGTTAGTGCTTTCTACCCAGGACTGAAACATAAACAGTCTCTTATTTAGGAATTCTCCTTGTGTTCTGGTGCCAGAATTAGGTTTCCAGTGTACTTAAGTGAACATCTCCTCATCTCAGAGTTACTATTATATTTCACATCTAAGCAGAAGCCATTTTCCTGCACAATTATGTCTCTGAATATCTTTTCTGTTTCTTAAGAGCACAAAGTGTATGGACCTCGGGGAGCTGTGATACTGGAACTCCATCGGATTTATATTTCAGGACTCTGCTATGCATATTCAGATTTACAAAATGGGGAAACTGGAATGAACAGCTTTGACCTCCTGTGATTTGAGAGGCTCATAGGGACAGGCAGGACTTAACCTGGGCTGGGAGGAGAGGAGTGTGGGAGCCCGAGAGGCAGGCCAGGCTCCAGCAGGCGGCAGTCGCTCAGATACAGGGAGACGTCAGGGGCCTGCTTTCCTTAAGGTACTGCATGTGCATTGTGAGGCAAGGCTGGTGTTGGAAATGACTTTGTGGTATTAAAAGAACCCCAGCCATGGAGACAATGGGTGTCTTGCAAGCAAGTCTAGTGGCGGTTTTTTCTTTTCCTGGATGAACCACTCTGAGCCAGAGAAGCCTCTTTCCCAAGTGCCGACAGATCCTGAGGGGCTCCAGTCCCCTGGCAGGCAGAAGGGGACCCAAACTTGATCTGGCCTTTGGCTGCAGAAGAAACCGCAGGTCACAGGTGAGCTGAGGGGCAGAGGGCAGAGCCTCCTTACTCCACCTGGCTCAGGGTTGTAGAAAGAGCACAATTAAAACTCAAGTGGGCCATGGGTTTGTCTCTCTTCCCTTAATTGAGTATTAACTCCAAAGAGATGCCATTGCCAACTGCTTCATCTTTAGATTACCAGTGAAGCCAAAATATTTTAGAATTAAAAAGTAAATTCTTTTCTGTAAAGATCCAATCAGTTACCTTGGTTTTGTTACACCAAGGATGACATGAACGGCTGAAGTCATTTAGATTTTATACAAAATAAGTCTAAAGCTTGCCGGAAAGCCAGTAGCCTCTGGTGTCCATGGCAACGCAGTGTCCATGGTAAGATATCTATAGCTCGTGCCCATTGGGCAAATTGCTCAATAGTATGTGGTCGTTGGTTATTTTTTCAACTTCGGGTTACATAAATAGAGGACCTATGATCATTTTTTTGTTGTTGTTAGAAACCCCAATTAAAGCACTGTAAGGCTGATGGGCACTAGCAGTTAAAAGTGTGTGCCAGGCCACATAAAAACAAACATTTAATTTGCTGAGCAATGTTTTTAGGTTATTCGATTCTGCAGAGAAAGCTGGCAGTCTGTTCTTTGTAAAACTGCCTTTTCCTGTTTTTTTTTCTCTTGTTTTTGTTAAGGTTCCTTTTTTACTAAGTACCTTCTAATATTTAGGCAGATAAAGACAGATACAAATACTCTGTACAGATGTTAGCTCTTTAGAGGGGAAAGTAAATTGTCTATTGTAGGAAAAATCTGAAACTATCTGTGAACCAGTCTTAATTTGTGTACTAGCCATCAAAAAAGCAAGGACCGGGTTTTGTTTTGCTTTTAGGCAAGGAATGTTTCATGCAGGGTGTGGATGCTTTCTTCGCCTTTATATTTCCTTTCAGAGAAATCTCTTGTAAATTACAAAACTGTGAAATGGGTTGCCAAAACTTGTTGCCCTTCCTTAGAAGAGTCCAGCCGTGTAAAACCCTTTTCTCAAACCCTGTCCATATCTGCTCCTTCCTCCCTCCCCTGAGTGAGGATCTCATCCAACAATGTAATTACCATACGCTTGCTATTAAAGAGCCTTCCAAACTTGTTGATCTTTGCCTCTTTCTTACTCTCTAGAACCATGTCTGGTCCTGGAAGATTGACAATGCGGAACAAGGAATAAGGACCATCAGCTGACTTTGTGGTTGTAGGCTTGGGTCTGGAGTTCTGGGGGAGGGAGAAGGGAAAAGGGAGAGAGGGCGGATGAGGTGATTGTCTTATGATCCAAATGTTAATACTTGATGTGTTTTGAGACATGGCCATGTCTGGATGCTGTAGCTGTGATTTTGTAATTTTCCACTCTTCCTTTAAACTAGGACTTTCACTTGATATGTGATATGTGAGGACTTCCATTTTTTTTCCTCTGGTAATCTTATGGCACCAATTAGAATTCTGTAGTCTTTCTATGACAGCACTTCAGCAATTCCCCACTGGCTCCTTCCCCATTATTGTTACTCAGTAAACAATGACATTTAAAGAATAAATCTGTAAGTTGGTGGTCAGTTCATTTTTCCATGAAGAACAAGTTTCTTTCTCCAAGTGACTAGATCTCTATAGATTGTTAAATTCGATTTGAGATTGACGATTGGCACTGCTCAGAGGTGTGTGTGTGACAACTGCATTTATCCTGCTTTGGTTTCAGTGAGGCTGTTGTCAGAGATGGCGCTGAGTGGAGGACTGTGTCAAGCATTCCAGCCCTCACTTGGCCCTGGGTGCTGGACAGTGGCCGGGCATGCAGGGCTCCAAATGGACCTTCTCTCAGAGGATGCCTTTGAAGTTTGCTCTCACAGATTTACTTCTGAAAATGCAGCGTGGCTCCTTTAAGTTTGAGAATGTGTGTTAGACCCTAGAAATGCCCAGGTTTTCTCTTGTATGAATCATTCCACAATTAGTTGGCCAGAGGAGAAGGTCCTAGCCCAGAGTCCTCCCTGACCAGATGTGGGATCGTACACATGTCACTTCTTCCCAACCCATCCCTTTGTTTCCTCGTTCATAGAAGTAAGAACGTGGACTCATTCCAAGTTTCTTTTGGGCTCTGGTGCTGTAGGAATATACTTGTTGTCTTGGCTAGTGGAGTTCAGGAGGGTGGAAGGCCATTTATAAAGGGAAATACTGGCCTGAGTGACTGATCCTGACAAAATTCCTATGTCTCTGATTTTGAATTCATCTTCTCTAGGCTTCCTTTTAGAAATAAAGACCCCAGCTGACATAGGAGTTGTCTGTGAACCTAATGCTCATATTCCTGAATGCTTTCTCTCACGCCTTCCTGTACTTTTCTTCTCCTTATGACTGATAACGTAGAATAAAAAGCTACAACAGAAGAGTATGATGGGTTTGTTGGCTTAGGGGTGTGCAACGGTCTGGTTTCCATGGCAGAGTCACACCAGGCGGGATACCTCATGGTCCCTGGTGTTCCTGTGGACATACATGGGTTGAAGTAGGACAAAATAAGCAAGACAAAACCCAACACTGGGGGTTGGGGCCTACAGCAGGTGGCTTGCCAGGTGTGTGCCAGATAGCCTGGCAGGTGGTTTTGCCTGCTGCCTGTTGAATGGGGCTGAATGGAATTCCTTTCTCCCTTTGGCAGACCTGGCCTTGTGCTGTATTGGAAAGTCAGGAAACACACCCTGAACAAATGGGCACTGTACTGTTCCCCTTAGTTCCTTAGTAGACAAATAACTTTGAAATACTTTTCCTGTCTCTGACCTGTCTCATTCCCTTTTTGGAGCAGAAAACAATGCCTTTTATACAAATCTGGGAAAACTATAACCAGGCAGTCAAAGAATAAACAAGGCATTTCCTATTAAGTAACAGTTAAAGAGCAAAGATATTGTCGTATTTTCTAGGAAAATAAGTCACTGCGTGATGCAGGAACTGGCAATAAAATGAGGTGGGTCCTTTGGGATGCTTTTTAATTGGAGGCCTCTAGAGGTCAGCAGCGTGTAAAGAAAGGACTTCCTGGTCCTGGGTATTTCTGGTGCCATTTCCTTGTAAGAGCCCTGAAGAAAGCAGGCCTGGCAGGCTCCCAGCCTGGCAAGACCAGCTAGCCAGGGCGTGAGTCTTGTTCTTGTGCGTAAACCCTAACATTTGACTCTGGTTGTTTTTTCCTTCTCATCAGTGGTTCTCTGCCACCCCCCACACCCGAGTGCACATGCTGTCAGCTCAATAAACACATCTTATCGACCAGTCAATGAAGCGTGACATTTAGCTCACTCTGAGAAGGACTGGGGAAATGCCAACGAAGAGATAGACAGCACTTCTCATTTTGCTTTGAGTAAGGTCAAAGGTTGCTCTGTGCTCGGAGACAGCTGGGCCTTTCTGATCGTTAGCTGGGAAGTTTTTTAAACCTTGCAGCTTCCAGCCAGACCTTGGGTGCCATAGGCAGTCCTGGGCCACAGTTTCTTCCTGGAACTCAAGTCAAGTTTCTCTGGACCTACACAGTGCAAGGATGGGTGGGGAAGGATCTCACTGTGGGACATCTAACCAGACGTCAGATGGTTGGGTGCCCCTAAAAACTGCTCCGCAGTTGGGAGTGCCAAGTCAGAGATGTAGTAACAGCATATAGTGATGGCCACAGGCCTCCCAGGTCACCAGGGGCCAAATCCAAAATCAGAGTTCTTGGGAGTTCCCACCTGCTCCCCTACTGCTGCACTAGGGTTCCTTTCTGCTCAACAAAGAACAGGAGGGTTTTTATTGTTCCTGTCTACTGAGTCAAACCTAACCCAGACCACGGGAAACAGTATTGACAAGTGTCCTTTGCTAAGTGATTTGGCTGAATCTGGGACCCGCTCACTGAAAAGGGCTGTCAGTGGACAGAACAGAACAGTGGGATGCAGGCTCCCTGGACAATCATCTTAACACTTAGTGCTTTATAGTAGTCTCAGTACTAAGATTTCACAACTATGGCCATTGATCTGAATGAGTGTGGGGTTGGTTATGTTCTTTGCAGGTTTGGATAACCTGGTGACTTCTCACTCATTTTATCATGAAGTGGGATGAATGTACCCAAGCTGTGTATGCTGTTATATACAAACATTGTTTTGAATTATTATATATAGTTCTTGGTAAGTGCCAAGCATACTGATTTTTTAATGCCTGGAATCCTCCCATGAATCTTATAAAGTGGATGTCATGATTGATAGCTTACTTTGAAAAAGGAGGAAACTGAGGCATAGAGAAGTAATTTGCACAAGACCACAAAGCTAGTGAGTGCTAGAGCTGGGATTTGAACCAAGGCAGCATACCTTCAGAGCGCTTTTATTTAAAAAAAAAATTATTTATTTATGTATACAAGAACTCAGGTACATGCCAAAAGTACAGGGGGTGAGAGGATTCACTAGAGACAGAGTGGGGAGCAGGACAAGCAGATTGACTGAAATACACAGCTGAGGGGAGCAGGGGGAGGCTCAGGAGAGATCTGCTGTGCCCTGTGTGGGTCAGCTCCCTGGCCGGGGATCTTCATAGTGCTGCACTCTAACCCCTTGTGCCACCAGGGAGGGCCTGCCTTCAGAATACTCAAAACTACTCTGCTCTGAGTAGTGTCATCCGGGCTGGACTTACCTTTAATGAAATCTCCAGTTCTTCCAGTTCACGGCTCCACAGGCCCTACGCTTAAGCCTCACGCAGCAGGTGCTGACGGCTCCCTGTGCACAGGCTGGAATGGGAGATCACTGATCAGCTCTCTACCTTCCTGTGACCAAGGTGGCTGTGCTGAATGGATTAGGATGATAACTGATTCTTCTCAGAATCTATGAACTTGCAGACATGTGAAAGTGAGTGGAAGAACAGGGACAACAAATTTGTTGAAATAATTTAATGACAGGTAAAATAAAAAGGATCCTTAGGCAGGAGTCAGACTGCAGAAATAACCAGCATTCTTTTCATCTCTACCCTTCTTCCTTGGCCTTGTCCCTCCCCCTGCAACAGCCCTTTGCAAAGTCATTCCCAAGTCTTCTAATAACAGAAGAGTCTACTAGGGACTCTACACAATAAAGGGGCCTTTAATGGGAGCAAAAATTCACTGTGCTGAGTACTCAGACCAGAGCCCAGAGAGGAAGAAGCTGCCCTCATCAGCTGATCATGCACAGAGTCTCCATAACATGCAGACAGATGGTTTCAGTCTCCAAATTTCTGTACGAACCGTCCAAACATGCCTCCAGCCTGCCTTCTCTTTCCCACCTCTGAGCAGTGGCAACAGCACACACCCTCACACCCCACGACTGCTGTGTGATTCTCACGCTTGTCTTAGGACAGAGGGAGTGTGTGGAATGGGAGAACACATTTCAAAGGCAAATTCAGTTTGCTTTGAAGCTCATCCACCTGTTTGGCTGATCTCTGACTACGTTTCTCCCTCTCATGCAGGGACAGGAAAGCCTGTCCTGGTCTGAGGTGTGAACATGATCACCTGGATCCCCATGTTTGGGGTGCATGGGCACAGCTGATGCTGAGTGCCCACAGGCTTACTTACCCCAGGACAGCACCTTTCTGCTTTTCAAGTGATGCATGGATAGGAGAAAGGAAAGCAGAAAAGGTGAATCAAAAACAAACCAAGGAATATGAAGCTGTATAGGTTTGGAAAGTGGAGAGGACAGTGCCATGTGGAAATAAAAAAATTAGATTTTCTATATCTGACTCGTGCTTCCCAAGTGGCCTTGGTCTGTTAAATCTTCAATTTCTTCTGCTCAGAAATGTTATAGGTCATTTTCAATCTCAGGCTGCAGGAGCTATAAAAATACAAATTTTTTTGTGGAGAATCAACTTTAAAATGAGGCTGAAAAGTGTCATAATTTAACAATTTCTGACTCCAGCATTTCCTGTTATCAGAAATGGAAATCGGAAAATGGGATTTCCATTTATCAGATTGGACATGAAATGCAGTTCAAATACTGCTTTGTGGTAGGATTTTGAGTTAATACTCACCCATTGGGTGCCTTGAAGTTGGCAGTCTCCTTGTCTGGCTCCCACCACACCTGTCTAACCTTGTTTTCTCTTCTCCTACCCTCCTCGAATACTGGGTACTTTATAATTCAAAGTTCATCTAAATTAATGTG